CCACGGAACCCGGTAAAACCGAGTCCGGCCCGGACGGGTAGGGGGGGGGGGCTGGGCTGGGTAGGAGGGTTGGGGTGGGTTTGGACGGTTTAATTATTTGAAACGGGTAACCAGCCCGGTTGAACCCGGAAGAGTTACTGTTCGCTCTTACCAGGTTAACCGGACCGGACCGGCCCGGTTCAACGGCTACTTTTTTTTTTGTTTTTTTTTTAATTTTCGAATTCAGTGGGCCCCACAGACCGTTGGCAACGGTCAGACTATTTTTTGGTCCGTTGGCCAACGGAAATATTGCACAAATAGCCTTTTTTTTTTAAAATTTTTTAACCCTTTTCCAATTTACAAAACTAACCTTCTCTAAAACTATAAATACCCCCCCCCCCCCCCCCCCTTCATTTCTTCACTCAATACTCATTTCTCAATCTCAATTTCTCTCATTCTCTCATTCTCCAATTTGCAAGACTTCAAGTCTTCAATTCATCATTTCATCTTCTAATTTTATTTGGCTCTCTTTTCTTGAATTTAATTTATCGTGTTTTGTCATTCAGAATTTGAAGTTTGAAGTTCAAAATTGAAATACTTGTTTGACGTTTGTTCGTGGTAACATCAGAATTGCGTAATCAAGTGCTCAATTTATTGTCGAATTCGGTGCACTCCCTCCAACTCTTTCTCTTATTTAATATTTTAATTGCATATTTAATTTTAGCTTATACTTTAATTTTTACAATATGTTTAATGCTGCTAAAAGAGCGTGTAGAAAGGTTACTGGTAGGGGAAATAAAAAAAGAGGTAGTGCTTCAGCATCTGGTAGTAATAGTACCCCATATACACATGTTTCCGAAACATCGCCTAATGATAATGTAGATATAGATTATGAACAACTACAAGAAGATTATGGAATAGAAGATAATGAATTAGGAATGAAAGATGAGATACCAGCTACACCTACTAGTGCTGGAATTGGTAGTGTTGGAGTTGCTACAAGGGGTGGTGGTCGTGGCACTAGTAGTAGACCACCTGTGGCTCCGACTACTAATCGTAGAAAAAGAAGTAAGGTTTGGAATTTTTTTGAAATAATTGAAGGTACTGACAGAGTTAGATGCAAACTTTGTAAAGATGATTTTAAACATTTGACTGGAGGAAATTTAGGGGGGACTGGGACGCTTAGTAGACATATGAGAATTGCATATCCCATATAATGGGGCTCTGATGGTGATGAAAATCAAACAACTATTAACCCTACTACTGGAGGATTATTGAAATATGATAAAATGAAGGATCGTGAGGAGTTAATTAAGCGTACAGAAACAAATTTTCTCTCTCTAGATGCTCCCAGCGCATGATAAGCGTGCTCTTGCTAACATACGCTGATCAACAATGGGGAGGGGAAGACCTAGGAAACTCGCGACGGAAATTCCAATAGGAAACATTATGGAAGCTGATAAACCACAAGCTACAGAGAAACGGAGAGCTGAGGTGGTGGAAACAGTGATAGATCCAATGGAACAGTGGCCGCCATTATCAGCCATGAAGGAAGCCCTAAAAACACTGCACGCAACGAGTCCTGTAGGGATCGAGAATGAGGAAGTAAGTCCTGTTGCTCAAGTACAAACCGGAGGATCTAATCAAGGAAAAATGGCATACAGCCCAATAGCAATCGAACTCAGCTAGGGGAAATTGCGATGAGCTCAGAAGATGCAGGGGAGGCTAAATGGGAAAATGAGAGTAAATCGAAAGTCGATAACAACAAGAATGAAGTTCCAGCTGTAGATAAAGTGGCGAATCAGAAGAATTGGACAAACTTGTTTGCAGGGAAACAAATTGGCGGCAAAAGGTATGGATCTAAAATTCATTGCGCCGACTATCAAAAATAGAGAAGTAATTGTGGAATTATGTAAAGAGGAAGTGGAAGAAGAGACAAGGAAGTGGAAGCAAGCTTTAATTGTCTATGTAGTTGGAATTACACCAACAGTTGGAGCTATGGAGCGATTCATTGCGGCGGAATGGAATTTTACTGCTAAACCTAAGGTTTACTATCATA